AAACTAGAAAAAAGCTTGTTTTTGACCCCTTTTTTGCCCCTAATTCCTGAACGTTTGGGGCATTTAACCCCAAACTCAATCCCAGCCTTCCCATTGTGTTATGAAACCTTGTGGTACAGATCCATACACTTACACACACATTATTGTCCGGAAACTACAAAAATGCTTGTTTTTGTTCCCCAATTCCTAAACTGCTGGTACCATCACCCCCAAAATCAATCCCAACCTTCCTTTTGTGGTATTGAACCTTCTGGTAAAAAATTCATAGAGATCCATTAGCTTAAACTAAAGTTATTGTCCGGAAACCAAATGTGTCTTCGGACGACGACGACATCATAGCATTATACGACGCAAAATTTTTTTTGCAGTAGTATAAAAACAAGAGTGAACACGCTGAAATGTCTCGCCTTCTTTACTAACCATTGATTTTATGTTGATAGTCCTAAATACAAATAAAAATATAAACTTAACATGATCCAAGAAAATGAGGTCAAGGTCAGATAAACCAAGCGAGAAATACATGTACACCTTACAATCATTCAATAAACCAAACATAGTTGACCTATTGCTTATTGTTTCTAAGAAACAGTCTTAAACAAGAAAACTTAACATATGACCAATGAACCATGAAAATGAGGTCAAGGTCAGATGAACCATGCCAGACAGACATGTACACCTTACAATCAATTTAGACATTAAATATAGTATCTAAGAAACAGACTTAACCATGAAAACTTAACATTGACCAATGAACCATGAAAATAAGGTCAAGGTCAGATGATACCTGCCAGACAGACATATACACCTTACAATCCTTCCATACATCAAATATAGTTGATCTATTGCTTCTAGTTGAAGAAAAACAGACCAAAACACAAAAACTTAACACTGAGAAATGAACCATGAAAATGAGGTCAAGGTCAAATAAAACCTGTGAGACTGACATGTATATCCAAAATATTTCCATACACCATTTATAGTTGACCTATTGCATATAGTATCAGAAAAAAAGACCAAAACACAAAAACTTAACTTTGACTACTGAACCCTGAAAATGAGGTCAAGGTCAGATGACACCTACCAGTTGGACATGTACACCTTACAATCATTCCATATACCAAATATAGTAGACCTACTGCTTATAGTATCTGATATATGGACTTGACCACGAAAACTTAACCTTGTTCACTGATCCATGAAATGAGGTCGAGGTCAATTGAAAATTGTCTGACGGGCATGAGGACCTTGCAAGGTACGCACATACTAAATATAGTTATCCTATTACTCATAATAAGAAAAATAAATGTGGATAGTGTCCACATGTGGACACAGATGATGCCCCCGCTTGCATATCATATAGTTATAAAGAGACTTAACTGAAGAACGGTAAAAGTGACGCTACCCAAATTTGAACTTGATCTGAGTTTTGTGGTAATAAGCATTGTGTGTAAGTCTCATAACATTTGGTTGAGGCTAACTTTAGAAGGGAACAGAAACTAAAAATTCAGCAATTTTTCTATTTGTAAACACCCATAACTCTAGAACAGTTGTGTATAAGTTTTACAACATTTGGTTGAGACAAAACTAAAAAATTCAGCAATTTTTATGTTTATAAAGGGACATAACTCTAGAATGGTAAAAGTGTTGCCACCTAATTTCGTACTTAATCTGTATTATGTAGTAATAAGCATTGTGTAAAAGTTTCATAACATTTGGTTGAGGCAAACTCAAGTTAGAGAACTGAAACAAAAAAATTGTACTTGATCCTTACTGAGTTTTGTGGTAATGAATATTGTGTATAGGTTTCATAATGTTTGGCTGGGGAAAACTTCAGTTACAGAATGGAAACTAAAAAAATTTGCAATCTTTCTATTTATAAAGGGGCATAACTCAATAATGGTTAAAGTGACACTACCCAAATTCAACTTGATCTGTGTTTTATCAGTGGAAGTCAATATTAAACATTGCATTGTATAAAGCATTGATTGTAGTTGATCCAACTATAATCATGGTCAAAGGAAGATAACTCCAATTTTAAAAATATATTATATAAACTTGATATTTAGAAGAAAATAAAAATTTTGCAATTTTTCCTTTTATAAAGGGGCATAACTCTAGATCCGTTAAAGTGACACCACCAAAATTCAAACTTGATCTGTGTTTTGTGGTAATAAGCATTGTGTATAAGTTTCATAACATTTGGTTGAGGCAAACTTAAGTTAGAGAACGGAAACTAAAAATTTTGCAATATTTCCTTTTATAAAGGAGCATAACTCTAGATCGGTTAAAGTGACGCCACCAAAATTCAAACTTGATCTGTGTTTTGTGGTAATAAGCATTGTGTATAAGTTTCATAACATTTGGTTGAGGCAAACTGAAGTTAGAGAACGGAAACCAATTTCGGGACGTACGTACGTACAGACGGACAAGGGTAAAACTTAATGCCCCCTCCGCTACGGCGGGGGCATAAAAATAACATTACAAAAAATGTTGACTTTTTTTCAAGTAGTCAGTGAACCATGAAAATGAGGTCAAGGACAATGGACATATGACAGACGGAAACTTCGTAACATAAGGCATCTATATACAAAGTATGAAGCATCCAGGTCTTCTAGCTTCTAAAGTATAAAGCTTTTAAGAAGTTAGCTAATGCCGCCGGATCACTATCCCTATGTCGAGCTTTCTGCGACAAAAGTCGCAGGCTCGACAACCAGAAGAGGAAAAAGCACTGTACCCTTAAAACAGCTGTATAATGCATGTATCTCAGAGACCGAATACCCAAATGACCAGGTACAGGGTCTGCTATAGTTTTTTTAAACAGTTAATGGCCAGGTACAGGGACTATTATATCATTTAAATACCTGGTAACATTAGCCAGGTACAGGAGCCGTGGTAGCCTTTTTAAATACTGTAAATTTAGAAATTGTTACAAGGTTTTTATTAATGTGAATAATGCGACTGGGTGAGTATCGCAATAAGAACTCACATTATAATATTGGATACATATATCTGCAAGAAGCTCTTTCTGAAATTCCAATGATTGATATTCCAAATTTGCTAAAAATAAATACACGCAATAATTTCTGAATTTACAGTACATTGTACCTGGTGATAATAATGTCCAGGGACTGTCATAGCCTTTAAACACTAGTACCGGTAATATTGGCCAGGTACAGGGGTTGTGGATAACATTTAAATACTAGGTAATATTAGTCAGATACAATGACTGTGAAAGCCTTTAAAAAACCTTGTAAAATTGACCAGGTACAAGGACTGCAATAGCCTTTAAATACCTTGTAATATTAGCCAGGTACAGGTGCTGCTATAGCCTTTAAATACCTTGTAAAATTGACCAGGTACAAGGACTGCGATAGCCTTTAAATACCTTGTAATATTAGCCAGGTACAGTGGCTGTGATAGCCTTTAAATACCTTGTAATATTAGCCAGGTACAGGGCTGTGATAGCCTTTAAACACCTTGTACTATTGGTCAGGTACAAGGACTGTGATAGCATTTATATACCCGCTTATATTGGCCAGATACAGGGACAGCCATAGCATTAAATACCTTGTAATATTGGCCAGGTACAAGGACTGTGATAGCCTTTAGGTGTCAGACAACCAATTCACTCCCTCCAATTTAGAACGTAAAAGTAGCCCTACTCTTACACAAAATAGTGCTTTTGATGTCATTGTTTACTTAAACTATCCAACAAATTTGCAGAAATGAAACTTTTGGTGAAAGGGAAATATATTTAGACCATTCTGAGCCAAAATTTACTTGTCTATGAGTTTGCATTAAAAATTGAAGATTAATGCACTCTATAGTATACTTATTTAAGATTTCCAGAAAACCAGGGGTTATTTTTAGTAGTACTGGTCTTCCGAAAAGCAGTTCTTTCTTAGAATTCTTTAAACATGAGTTGAAAATTGGCATGTAGAAAGGTGATACATGTACAATTCAGGATATACCTGGTTTCTATGAAGTTAAACTTAAGGTAAAATATTAAGCTGTGAAAATTGCAAAATTTGGTTGAATAGGTAGGGATTTTGAATTGGTGGTCTGACACCTTTAAATACCTGGAAAAAATTACCAGGTACAGGTATTGTGATACCATTTATATATCTGGTAATGTTGGCCAGAGACAGGGACTTTCATAGCCTTTAAAAACCCTTAAGTACCTTAATAGCATTTTAATCAACTTAAATTTAGTATCTAAGGTACCTGTCAAAATTCTTCAAATAATAGTCGACACAATAAATCCACATATTACACTGCTATTGTAGAGGTGGCAGAAATTTGTACTGGTTGAAGTCAGTCAGCCTTTTTATGCCCCACCTACGATAGTAGAGTGGCACTATGTGTTTCGGTCTGTGCATCCCTTGTCCGTTCGTCTGTCTGTCCCTCTTCAGGTTAAAGTTTTTGGTCAAGGTAGTTCTTGATGAAGTTGAAGTCCAATCAACTTGAAACTTAGTACACATGTTCCCTATAATATGATCTTTCTAATTTTAATGCCAAATTAGAGTTTTTACCCCAATTTCACGGTCCACTAAACATAGAAAATAATAGTGTGATTGGGGCATCCATGTACTATGGACACATTCGTGTTTATCATATGTAGTGTCCATTCTTTAACTTGTGTATAATTTTACTACCAGCAAACTGTCAGGCTTCACATTCTAATTTGCTGTCATCTAAATAAGTGTTTAGCATGTATTGTGTGTGTTGTATTTGTCTTAAATAAGGTATATCATAAACAAGGGTTTGGGTACCCAGAAAAACTATTTTAACATTTGGTCTTATGCATGTTCAAAGTCAAATTATATAGCCTGTATGACGTTCTGTTGAGTTCATTCTTTGTTACAGAGATTTTAATTACTTTTCGTTAAAGTATGTGATTAGCGCATTTTTCTTAAGTTTAATATTTTGTTATTTCTAAATCTTGTAGTCCTTTCTGCTCACAAAAAGAAAACAAAAAGTACTAAAATAATAAAAAGTGATTATATCTGAATTTTTATTAACTTTTCTGTTAAATGTCTTTTTTTATTTTTTTTTATAATTTCAATTCACTACAATTAAGTAAACAATACATGATTTATAACAATATATAATCAAGGTATTTAAAGTTATGATTGTTTAAGGTGCTTCCAATAGTCAATGTAAAATTGAAAACAATATAGAATACAGATAACAGATATATATGACTTATTCACCACACTTTGAAGCAAGTAAATAATTATTGCACAAAAATTTTGTGTCCTTTTTTTATGTTTTTAACAGCATATAAAAAGTATCAAATAATAGAAATAAATAAAGATCAAGATTACTCCCTAATAATTGTTTTGATATGAAAATAATGATATAAAACTATAGAATGAAAAAAGGAGAGCACTATAAAACATCACATACTTGGTCCATTGCTTTTATCAGAATATTATTTTCACACCTCTTTCATTAAAAACCCCAAGTATAACTACCACAATCACTCAAACATTTTGTACATTCAAATAAATAAAAAAAAAATAACGAAGAGAAACAAAATTATTTTTAGCAACATACAAAGAAGATAATTATATAAGTTCTGACCAAATGTGTACAACAAACAGTCAACATTATTGTCTTTTTACCAAGGATTTCATCAGTCAGGTAATAGTTATGAAAAGGTCAAATTTTAAAACACCATCTTCCTTTTGGTGTTACATCACAATTTAACACAAAGTTTTAATCATCGTCTTCCTCATCAGACCTCCTGCTCCTCTTTGCTGGCATCATACCTCCAATCAGTCCATTAGCTGTATTGAACAGATTAATTGGTGTGCTACCGTCCGTGATTAGGGTGGATTTCAGGCCAAGAGACTGCAACATACGGACCTGTTGGTCTGGTCCAGCAGATGCCATGGTTGCCAAGGTATTTGCTCCAATAGCATCCACCATGTTCTTGAATTTTGTTGTCTCGATGGTTGACATTTCTTTTGATTTGGAAAGTTCCATTTCATTCTGCTCTCTAACATATTTAAGTTCTGCTTCTCTGGCCTGTGTTAGTCTTTCTAATTCAGACTCCTACAAAGTCAACACAATAATCTAAATATGCTCACCAACTTTTTGCATTATCAATAGTAAGTATATAAAAGGAACAGAGTTTTAATGTCCCCCACGTTGCACATATTTTTTCTATCCAAAGTAGTACAAGGTAATGTTTCCAAGGGGAATAACTCTTTTAAATATAATTGATAGGCACTGATCTTAGAACTCAGAATGCCAGACATGACCGATTTGGAAACTGAAAAGACCGAAATGATTTATTGGGATTTAGGTCTTTTTTTTTTTTTACAGAAATAATTTCGGTCATTTCATTGAGATCAGGGTTTTATCGGTCGCCATTTTGAACTTATTTTTGTTTTCAGCTCATCAAGAAAAATAGATTTGTTTGAGACAAAATAAAAATTTTATTGATTTGTGTTAGTGATTTAATAATATTTATCATTAGTCTGTTGTTTATTCTATAATGTAAGTGAAAACAATGTACAGGACTCTGTCGAGTCACACTGTGGGGTAAGTCTGGGTTCAAGCCACTAGGTTTGTTTACATAGTAATTATCACCACTTGAGGATAGTAATCAATGTCCAGGAAGTTTGAATTCGGCTTGGGTGTCGTTATTGTCTTGATTAAAGCCATAAAGGCCATGTACACAAATCTCACCTGTAAACACCTGTTAAGCAATAAAAACAATATGGCGATTTGCTGTGCATCAAATTTAACGTTTTAACCATTCTGACCTAGATTTTCCCAAAAGATATTATTTTATTCATTAAAGAAGTCAAATAACACTGTTGACTCGAGAATCTGTCCATTTTTATCCAAATAAAACATATAATCCATTTATAATCGATCAGCTGATTTGGTCAACGTTTGTTAAATATAGATTTATGTTTACTGAGTTTGCGCATGGAAAATGGGGATCAACATGGGTTAATTGATGATCTTATTTGAAAGATTGATTTTACTGTTAACTTTTCGGTATATTATTTTTTATGCAAATTTAAAGGGTTATGCATACGACCTCAGTGATGCAATACACAACAACAAAACGTCTCCTCGTGTAGTTTCTAACTCAGAGACATCACTGTTACTGTTAGATCAGGGTACAGTTACACTTGTTTGACCCAATACTTCACAAAAAAGGACTTTACTTGTCCATGTGCAAGACTTGTCACCCTCAGAAAAATGCATTATTGTGCATCACGATATTATTACATCACAAAAAAAAATGACCGAAATGACTTGGGAAAATTTCCGGATCCTTGAGCAGGGGACAATAAACTCATCATAGATACAAGGATTGAAATTTTGTACGCCAGACACACGTTTCGTCTACAAAACACTCATCAGTGACACTCGAATAAAAAAAGTTAATGTATCTAGAGGTCTGCATTAGAATAATCTGGTAATCTTTTTCTGAGACAACTTTTCATGAAACAATTTTCAGTAGTATCTTTATTCATAGGTCTTCTTTTATTGAAATACTTTTCATTTAAATAAAGTATGATTGAGTGCTAATGCACATAACATTATTACAGGAATACAATAAAATATTGATTATCCAGTTTTCTTCTGATATCTAATACATATATATTAAAGAAATTTTTCTCAAATCGCAATAATTAATCTTGCATTTTTGTCCATTCTTCAAAAATCACAATTAAAAATGCACGCATTCTGAATCAACAGTATTCTGACAGGCAACAAATTATTGATATTCTGACAGGGTAACAAACTATTCTACTTACTGCTTCAATCTTCATTGCCTGTGATTTCAGTTTGGCCTGGTCTACAGCTGCCTCACCCTCAATCCTGGCAGCCTCAGCTCGGGACTGTGCCTCTGCTTTAGCCTGACCAGTACTTTCTACTGCAGCACTGTTTGCCTGTAATTCTAACAATTGTTTTCTGGATTTCTCAGCCTCTGCTTCATCTGAAATTTTCTGTCTCTCCAATCTTCCTTTGGCTTCCTGTTCTAATCTTTCTGCTTCATGTCTGAAAATACAGATTGATAAAACTCTCCCATTTATATTCATTAAATATATCTCAAAACTAACAAATGATTATTTTGTGTTCTGCAGATTGCTTCCCAGCATGTTGAGAATATGATTCTTATTACTGGAAAGACACAATCTAAATGATAGACAGCCGTACAGAGGAACAACCAAACTATGTAAAGGGTTCCTCACATGTTGAACAGGACCCCCTACCATTTATCATATGTGCAAGTTTAAACAAATTCAACATCTGTGGTTTTGCCAATGTTCATGAATTATATTTTAACATTTAGTAGGCAATTTTTTTTGTGTTATAAATATGCATTGCTTTTTCTCAAACATGTATGTTTTTAGCTCATAACCTAACAGTCCCGCCATTTACACTCATCATTTTGAATGTGAATTAGAGTTACCTACCTTGCAGCAGCTTCCTGTGAGTTTGTTGTGATTTCAATGACCAGGTGTACAGATTTCTGTAGAGTTACCTACCTTGCAGCAGCTTCTTGTGAGTTTATTGTGATTTCAATGGCCAGCTGTACAGATTTTCTATAGAGTTACCTACCTTGCAGCAGCTTCCTGTGAGTTTGTTGTGATTTCAATGGCCAGCTGTACAGATTTTTGTAAGGCATCTCTTGTTCTCTGATCTACAGGTTCTACTGATTGGATATCAATACTGGTGAATACTAAGTTGTTTTGAGGAAATTTGAAAACTTCACGCACTTTGTCTTTGTCATCAAAACCAAACACAGAAGATCTGATGATTCTAGCTGAATTCTGTAATATAAATGTGCAAATTTCCAAATACTGATCTTTTCTATCCACAGTATCTAATTTTCAATGTGCAATGATTATTTTCATCTTATAAGCATACTATTTGATTTTTTGCATTTTGTAGGATTAATTTTATTCATGCCCAGGTGAGAAAACAGTTCATTACAATGCAGTGGAAAACTTAAAAATATATATGGATGAAACATATTGAAAACCTAAAGTTCCTTACATATCAATATCTCTCATGGATCACCAAAGGATATTTAATGGTGATGCTCCTCCTATCTAGAATTTTTAAGACCACCCTTAGATTTCAGGCATCAATAGTTCTTTAGTATAATTTTGAAAGACCATTATTAAGCTTATTTTTGTTTTTTTCATAAAATAAAGATACAATATATATACATACATATGTATTCAAGATTATTGCCAAAGGTATGATGTTGATGAATATTTTCTCAACAGGTAAGCTAATTATTTTATGAGTTCCACCTTTGAACATTTTTCTGTGGTAATCCTTGAATCTATTCAAATCAACTTGTACATATCATTAAGCATACCTTGTGGAAATCATCAAATTGTACTTGTGCCACGGCTCCTCTGATTCGGGAGGCAATAGCCTTGCACGCATCTCCAACAAAATCTGGTACACTGAAAATCTTGGATGCCTCAGTCTTATCTTCTTTATTCTTAATATCAAAGTGCCAGTTGTATGACAGCTGAAGTGACAATCTGGCGTGATCGGCTGTTTCCACGGTGATAATGTCAGTACAGAAATCAGGACCCAGAAGTAAACACAATGATTTGATTACATTTTGTTTCTTAGGTTTGCCTCCAGAGAGACTAAGCTGTGTGAATTGTTCATCTGGACCCAACATAACTAATTCTGGACCAAACACAACTCTAGAATGAAAAGAAAATTACATGTGGTATTATTTGTATAGTAATAACTACTGTGCAATCAATATTATTTGTTTGGTACTTATTTTCCAGGATTTCAAGGGTATTAATTTAGTATAAATCATATTCAATAAAATACAAATTTCCTGCAGGCTTATATGTCGAGTTTGCATAAAAAATTAAATAAAAAATCTTTGAAAATATATAATTTTTTCATCAACAATAATACAAATCATTTTTCTCATCACAATTTAAACAGACATACACTAGTTACTTCTGATAATTTACAGTGAACATTTTTTATTCATTAAATTACCGATGTAAAATCCTAAATGAAGGGAATTTCTCAAAAATTGAGGCAACGAAGAGGTTTTTTTTAACGACCTCGACTACCCATGAGGGTCTTGCACTGTCGGTAATTATTCTGTTGGTTACATACCGATTCTATTGTCCAAAGTAACAAAGACTTAAGTAAAGAAGTTTGTTTGTTTGTTTGTTTATCCGTGTTTAATGCCACTTTCAACCACATGGCGGCCAATTTTATTGATGGAGGAAGCTGGAGTATCAGGAAGGAACCAAAATGGCAATCCTTGTCAAATAAGATTGAATTAAAACACACTTGGAACGAACTGGGATAGAACTCGTAACCTCAAAGTTGACAGATCGTGATCACTGTACTGTGGTTTTATCACGGTTTGTTGGATACCTATTTTCATGGGATTTCTTCGGTACAAGTGAACCATGAATTTAACTGTTCAACAAAGTGAAAAGTTTTATAGGCTTGTATGCAAACTTTTGTTAAACCATTAAATCATATATACATGAAAAATACAAATATTCCATAATCAACGAAAATTGATACCCTCAAAAAATTTATGAATCCAAATTATTTGAACTACTTAGACCATTAGGCCTGATATGACTGACCTGATCCTGATCATAGGCTGTTGGTTACTGGAATGTACACACAGACTAAGAAACAATATTTACCTGGCTTTCTTTTCTTTATAATCATAAATCTGTACTGCAGCATTGTGTGGAACTCTGAATGTGACAACACGAGTTTTGTCACGTGGTTTGGATGCATCACTAGATTTGGACCTGTCACTCCTGTCAGCCATAGGGTCCTTTCCTTGAGCCAGAAGGGTCTCGACTGCAGGAGGAAGTTCCTTGGCCCACAATTCCTCATCTTGGTTCAACATATATGTTTCTCCAGTAACAGCTCTGACCTAAAATATATTATGATTGTAATCCTAATCAAAAACTTACAAAAGAAAAAGACAATATCAAATTGTGATTTGAGGTGTTCCAATCTAAAAGTTAACTTTATTCTCAAAATCATCATATATCCAGAATATTTGTTTTTCACCTAAAGGACAACAAATCTTGGATACATATAAAATTGTTTTTTTACGTCAATATAAAGATTCCCACTTTCACAAAGCATTCATTTACCAAAATTTTTCAGATATGTAACAGGTTGTTTTTGTTTAACAAAATTCATAAAAAATGCTTCTTTTGAAAATGAACTAAATTTTTGCAAAACATTTTTATTCAAAAAAGATTGGCTACCTTACTGCAGTATGGGCTTTTTGAAAAAATATTAATGTTCATTTCATGTTTTGATTTTAGTACTTGTAACTCGTACCTTTCCAGTTTTGATATCTCTGACATAGATACCCTCATTTTCATCCAATGGGATTGCAGTTCTCTTCATGATAACCTCAACCTCCACAGGAGGTACATATTCTGCTGGTCCCCGGATCATCCACTTATCTCCTGGTTTCCTTCCAACATCCTAAAATAAAAATTTTGATAATAAATAATTTTGTGTCATAAAAATTCTCTTTCAGAAATCTTAATTTTTTAAATCTTGTTCAGGCATTATGAAAAGAAATGGAATGGGGTATCAAACTAAAAGATATCACAACTATTGACATTTGAAGACTTAAACTGACAGTGATTTAAAAGTTTAAATGCAAAACTTATAAATGTATATGTAACAACTGAAGTAAATACTAGCATACTACATACATGTACTAGGAAAAGCAAATTACAAAATAAAAATATAAAAAAAAGATGAACTTGTACAACATAGAAAATATGAAAATATAAAAAAAAATGTTTCTCTCATGGAACAAGAAGACCTGTGATGTTACATGTAGGCTTTGTTGTGAATTCAAAATAAATCAAACCTCAAATGCAGATTTAGTACAAAGAAAACAGGTATCTAAGTAAAGGAGTTTGAGAAAATGTGATATGAATGAATAGATATTATAAACTGTGTTATTAGTCTTGGAAATGTAAATATCAAGTATGAATCAAGAAGTTATGACCAAGCAAACTGATTTCATTATAATAAACTGCAATGAAAGCATCTACAATGTGCATCTCTAATTACATCAATCTAAAAAATCTTTGTATTTAAAAGTTGACAGAGAAAGTGGTCATGATGTCCTTTCAGGGGCAGATCCAGCCATTTATAAAAGGGGTTTCCAACCCTATGTCCCCTTTCAAAAGCATTGATCATCAAAAAAAAAAAGAACCCCCCCCCCCCCCCCAGGATCCGCCATTGCCTTTCTATTACATGTGCAATGAACTAAGAATTTAAACATTTCCCTAATGGTTGTCATGACTTTTTTCCATTTGCACAAATATTCTATTGTTTTGGATATTTTGCAGTGAATAGATTTATAGCCAACAATTTTCTGTCTTCTTTTAACACCCTGGCATCAAATTAATTTAATCAATATCATAATTATTTTTAATGGCTCCTTAATTTCCAGTGGCAAATACTACAGGCATATTCTGGACATTAAAGGCTAACGAGATACAACTATGAGATAACACCATTTGAAACAAGCATATAAGTATGTCAGGAATTTAGTATTGAGAATAACTTGATTCAAATATTTTGATTGGAGAATATCTTTTTAAGAAAAACTTAAAAAACAAGAACATATAAAATATTCAAACAACACTGAACTTTCAAAACATCAATTTATAAAGCTAAGTCACTATGACTTACTTTTGTATAAACAGTATAGGAGTCTCCCAATGGAATTGAGGTTGAAATATGAACCTAATATAAAACAAACTTATATAATTGAAGCACAAATTGTAAGAAATCTTTAGTTAATATTTATAACATCTTTTCATCTAGCACTTTTCTATGTTATTATGGCCCAACAGATGAATAATCACACATCATTTTAGGAAATCTACAAACTTACCATTATCAAATATGTTCAAAATTGTTTTAATATCTTCATTAACAGAAGCTTTTTTTTTCTTCTTAAAAAACCTAGTTTTCAATAAAAAGTATAAAATACATCTATTCACTTCTAAGATTTCCTAGAATGATAAGAACAAACACTGAACAAAATGCATTGCATTTGCAAAACAGGGAGTGAAGGACACACAAACACATTAAAAACACAATACAATTGTAGGCAGCATATCCCATTCTTAAGCAGGGCGTTATTCAAACATGTTATAAGAAATGTGTATTACAAGAATAACTGTTAGAACAAAGCACTGAAAGCACTGCAAGCACGAATTGCATTTGTTGACTTACTTTTTCGTCAGTCTGAAATGAACAAAAAAGTAAAATTCACTTACTCTATTGCCTACTTTAGACTTTCATGCATGATTTTATTTATTTGACAATTTACCATTTCAGAATCTACCCATAATGCATTCTGGGTAATATTTTAAAAAGTTTACGACAACATATTCTATTTGGTTATCTCTTAAATAATAGATATCCAACCAATGGTGTAATGTAATTTTCACTAAGGTGTATATGAACAATTACATTACCCAGAGTCCTTTAGATTCTGAAACAGTAAATTGTGCAGAGAGACGGACAGGATTATCATGCAGAGTAAATAAATCTTATACAACAAAAAATAAACATGCAGAGTAAATAAACATTATTCAACAAAACAAACTAATCCTTGACATAAGGTTGAACTATATGTTCACTGCATTGTGTACTTAGTTAAAAGTTCCACCTATTAAAAATGCTTAACTATAGTCAAGGCTTGCTCCTTTTTCTACCTTTATCTTTTATACAAAAAGTTGCAACACAATATAAGTAGTTTGTCCTGTTGTCTTCTGTTCTAAGCAATGCTATTTTTCTTATTGCAAAGCAAACCAGATTCCCTTCATTGATCAATAAAATAAAAAATTTCTAAACCTTAAAAGATTTCTTCAAAAGATTCACTTTGCATTATGACAGAAGTTTCGTCAATTTCACAGATGTTTCAAATTCACTGCAATTTTTATTTAACAATGCAAAGAAGGCATGAATGAAATATAGAAATGGTCAGCGTCAAGATACCTAGAAAGAAAATATCCATGAAATTCAATCTATTATCTGATTTTGTCTTTTCTTAATTTTGGTTTTATGTATTTAAGATATTTCAGGGGCAGTTTGATTGAAGAAAATTGGTTGACCTGATAACAACATGTCCATCTATGAGTAACTGACAAACTGTATCATACACAGATGACTTATACTGTGTTAATTTTGCACAAACAACTGGAATTTATGCTATAGATGTAGAATTCATGTAGATATCTGCCAGCTACCTGGAATACCTACACTCCACAACACAAATTTCAATTTATGACTTTCCGGATACTTTTTTTTTAATATGCAGGAAACTTACAGCATCTGTATCTTTAAATGATTCTGTAGCTCTCAGTATAACACCTTCATCTTCTCCAAGTACGTAGACATTCTGGATTCCTCTCTCAAATCGTTCTCCAGGTAACAAAAAGAAGGAACACTCTCCCTATCAAAAATACATTTAAATCAGTTATACTGTTATCAAATATTTATCTCTACATCATAAAGAGAAGAAATTGACCCTTGTTGAAAAAAAAAAATTATGAACTTTCAGCTATCGAAACTTCTTTTTATCAATTTAAGAAATATAGATTCCATCACTGCAATAAGTGTGTTACGATATTTCTCCACTCGAGACAGTTAAATTTTAATATTTAAAGCGCGAGGCTTGCCAAGCTTTTTAAATATTTAAATTTAACTGTTGAGAGTGGAGAAATATCGTAATACACGAGTTATAGTGGTGGAATCTGTTTCTCTGATGATTTTAATCCTTCCTTTTCAAAGATTTGCAGAAAGTTGTGTTCTTTATACGTGACGTCATCAGGCATGGTTGCCCTTTTTCATGACGTCACAATAGGAAATTCAGAAGAAATGAAGAAAAATTTAACGTCATAATTAAATTTCGACCAATCATTTGCTGAGAACAGATATTTCACTAGTGAGGAGAAATATTTTTCTCACACTGCTCAAGAAATGTGAAAATAGCACAAACATTAGAGAAACATCATATTCCAACCTAAAAATAGTGTAGAATTTCAAATGTATTTATAATTTTCCAGTGCACTACAAGTTTTCATTATTTTCACAGTTCCCACAGCACAGTTAAATAAAATGCTCCGCAGGGCGCAGCTTGATACGACCGCAGAGGTCGAACCCTGAACAGTTGGGGGAAGTATGGACACAACATTCAAGCTTGATACAGCTTTGGATTTGGATTGTGATTAAATATTTGACACAGCATAGGTTTCTAACACAGATTGAATGTGGTCTAAGAACTTAAAAATTTTAAATTGGACATTCACCTATTATGGTCCAATATCCAAAATCTAAATACATGGTTAGATTCAGCATATCAAAGAACCCCAAGAATTCAATTTTTGATGAAATCAAACAAAGTTTAATTTTGGACCCTTTTGACCACAATGTGGACAAAGTTGATAACAGGGCCCAAAAATCAAAAATCTAAATACATGGTTAGATTCAGCATATCAAAGAACCCCATATATTCAATTTTTGTTGAAATCAAACAAAGTTTAATTTTGGACCTCGATTTGGACCAACTTGAAAACTGGGCCCATAATCAAAAATCTAAATACATGTTTAGATTCAGCGTATCAAAGAACCCTAAGAATTCAATTTTTGTTAAAATCAAACTAAGTTTAATTTTGGACCCTTTGGACCTTAATGTAGACCAATTTGAAAACGGAACCAAAAATTAAGAATCTAAATAAACGGTTAGATTCGGCATATCAAAGAACCCCAATAATTCAAATTTTGATGAAATCAAACAAAGTTTAATTTTGGACCCTTTTGACCTCAATGTGGACAAAGTTGATAACGGGGCCCAAAAATCAAAAATCTAAATACATGGTTAGATTCAGCATATCAAAGAACCCCATATATTCAATTTTTGTTGAAATCAAACAAAGTTTAATTTTGGACCCCGATTTGGACCAACTTGAAAACTGGGCCCATAATCAAAAATCTAAATACATGTTTAGATTCAGCATATCAAAGAACCCTAAGAATTCAATTTTTGTTAAAATCAAACTAAGTTTAATTTTGGACCCTTTGGACCTTAATGTAGACCAATTTGAAAACGGAACCAAAAATTAAGAATCTAAATACACGGTTAGATTCGGCATATCAAAGAACCCCAATAATTCAATTTTTGATGAAATCAAACAAAGTTTAATTTTGGACCCTTTTGACCACAATGTGGACAAAGTTGATAACGGGGCCCAAAAATCAAAAATCTAAATACATGGTTTGATTCAGCATATCAAAGAACCCCATATATTCAATTTTTGTTGAAATCAAACAAAGTTTAATTTTGGACCCTTTGGACCTCAATGTGGACCAATTTAAAAACGGGGCCCAAAATCCAAAAACTAAATACACGGTTAGATTCAGCATATTAAAGAACCCCATGAAATCAAGAATAAAACCCCATTGAAATTGGTCAAGAAATAAGCAATTTATAGGAAGTATCTTCTTTTGCACAATCCTGTGCTATTAAATATTTCTTGCTATTGCGCAATACTGTACAATTGACAATTTCTTGCTATTGCGCAATATTGTGCTATTGGATATTTCTTGCTATTGCGCAATACTGTGCAATTGAAGATTTCTTGCTATTGCGCAATACTGTGCAATTGAAGATTTCTTGCTATTGTGCAATACTGTGCAATTGAAAATTTCTTGCTATTGCACAATACTTATTATATAATAATTTACACGTCCTGTTTGGTGTGTATCTCCTACCATATCATTATTATTTGATTTTAAATATAAATCAGAAATAACCAACTTAAAATGGAAAATTTTAAAAGAAACAAAAAAGGAAAAAAAGAAAAAAAAGGAAAAAAAAATTAATCCCCCCCCCAAAATTTTTTGAACCCCCATTATGATTCATCACCCCCAAACTCAATCCCAGCCTTCCCTTTGTGGTATGGTACCTTGCAGTACAATTTCAGAGAGATCCATACACTTGAACACAAGTTATTGTCTGGAAACTAGAAAAAAATGTGTTTTTTGGCCCCTTTTTGGCCCCAAATTCCTAAACGTTTAGGGCAATTACCCCCAAACTCAAACCCAGCTTTCCCTTTGTGATATGGAACCTTGTAGTACAATTTCAGAAAGATCCATACACTTACACACAAGTTATTGTCATGAAACTAGAAAAATGCTTGTTTTTTGCCCCTTTTTTGGCCCCTAATTCCTAAAATTTGGAGGCAATTACCCCCAAAATCAATCCCAGCATTCCTTTAGTGATATGGAACCTTGTGGTACAATGTTAGAGAGATCCATACACTAACACACAAGTTATGTCTGGAAGTTACAAAAATGCTTATTTTTGGCCCCTTTTTGGCCCCTAATTCCTTTACTGTTATTACCATAACCCCCAAAATCAATCCCAACCTTCCTTTTGTGGTATTGAACCTTGTGGTAAAATTTCATAAAGATCCATTCACTTAAACTAAAGTTAGAGTGCGAAAACCAATGTGTCTTCGGACGACGCCGGACGACGACGACGACGACGACGCCGGACGACGACGACGCCAACGTCATACCAATATACGACCACAAAAATTTTTTTGCGGTCGTATAAAAATAGTCATTGAATATTATCATAATTGAATAAATATATATAATCATATACTACTAGAAAATAAATACACGCTGAGGCTAACAAAATAAGAAAAATTAGATGCAATGAAAATACATGTAAATGTATTTACATTTAACATTCTTTAGTCAGTTCTTTCGACTAGTGCTGAAGAAGCAATCTCTTTATAACATATTTAAACTGTAAGATTTAATACAGCTTACTCTGGATGTTTTTCAAAAGAGTTATTTCTCATGAAAAAAATGTTCACATACCTTGACTAATTTCTTTCTACCAAGTTGTGGTCTGCCATGTTCATCTGAAGGATCAAGGATGATACAGTATTGTCTGCTAGTTAGTGTGGTAATATTCACTACTCCGACGACCTGAGAAAAAATTAAAGTAGGTCCTTTAAGAGTTAGCAGCCAGACTTTTAAGTATAGTTCCATAAAACGAAGATTTCTTCATTAATAATTTTTATAAATCAATTGTCTTTACCTTACCAATTATTGTTATTAAAAATGTTCAATGCAGGGTTCCAAGTATGGTTATTAACAAAACTTAGATTATAGAGATTAAAACAAGAATAATGTAACCAACTTATTTCACAGATAGGATAGTTTTTTTAAAAGCATTTGTCATTTTTAATCAGATTTTGCACAATTTTTATTCCCATTTTCTATATAACTTTGAGTAAGTTTGACCAATTTGACACTTTTTCCTGTTATTTTTCTTCTCGAAAATATAAATCGCTCCCTTTTATTAGCTGGTTTACAGTAATGAAAAACATCCCATTTGTGGACATGTACAGTAAGTAAACATTGATTGTATAGAACATATGGCTACCTCATTTATCTATTATTTTACACCAGTAAAGTACATACCTCTTCATACACATTAGGTATGTGTGTTTATTATTACACCAGTAAGGTACATACCTCTTCATACACATTAGGTATGTGTGTTTATTATTACACCAGTAAGGTACATACCTCTTCATACACATTAGGTATGTGTGTCTCTGTGTCTGTCATTTTGATCAACCATTCCTCTCCATTCTTTCTGGTTACACCAAAGTCGTCTTTAAATGTTCTCAATGATCTCATATGAAGAGCTTTCTGCAAATGTGAAAAAAAAATTCCTTCAAACATATATATATCTGATAAGCATCAATTGAAGGGGTACATTATTTTTTGTTTCATATGCTCTTTATATTTTCCATGTTGTTTTTGTTTTAAATACATGCATTAGATATAATTCCATCTTTTGGATATCAGAAAGCCTTTTTTAAATTTACATCAGTTGTCTTGTAATCTATTTAAAACATAATGCAGAAATTTCAAAGAGTCAGACCTAAGTAAAGTTGTTGTCGACACCATAAAGCAAAAATATACTATTACATATACATTATGTTACTTTTTTACTTCCTTGTTCCAACAAAAAAACCATTATTTTTGTTTTTATTCGCTTTCTCATACAGTCACTTTACCTTATCTGTTAAGACATAAGCGTTGACAACATCTACGACTTCTTCATAAGCTCCAGGGAGGTAAGCTCCGGTCTTCTTTACCAGCCATTCCTCACCAGTTACCCTAGCAACGCCTTGTCTGTCAATGGTCTCCTTCCTGGCCCTCAATCGGATGGCCTGGTTAGGTCTAATAACTGTGGCCCTGACAGTCTCCTCAATAACAACCTCTTTCCTTGGGATATATGTTCCTGGTCCTTCAAATAGCCACTCATCCCCAGCTGTTCTCTTTTCCTCATCATCATCTTCAAAGTCTAAAATAGCTCTGAGCCGAAGAGCTGAGTTAGCTGCTACCACTTTCAAGGGGGTTACAACCTATAATCAACAAGGGAGATAATCAAATTAGCTGCTTCCACTTTAGGGGTTTTATAACCTATTATTAACAAGGAAGTTAATCAAATCAGCTGCTACCACTTTAGGGGTTTTATAACCTATTATTAACAAGGGAGTTAATCAATTCAGCTGCTAGCACTTTTAGAGGGTTACATCCTATAAATAATAAAGGTGAAAATTAGCTGTTATCACGTTCAAGGGTGATAAAACCTACTACAAATTGAGGAGATAATCAAATAGGATGCATTCACCTTCAATCCTAATCATTTACCAACCATTAATATGGTAAATACTGTATAAATGGGCTTTCACCATGTTCACAGCCATTAAACAACAAGAAAGATAATCAATGTTTTTGCTTCCAACCTAAGGACTGGCTTGTAATAGATTTTGAGGCAAAAGTCTAAAAAGTTCATATAAGTTCAATTCATATTTGTGGTGAAGATCAAATACATGTAAATCGAAAGATTTAAAACATACAGTCTTAACCTTGAAGTAAATAGTTTAACTATCAAACATGTCAATTCAATTTTGAGAAGACATTTAAAGGTATTTGGTATCAATTCAAAACATCTATGACATCTTACTTCCTTGTTATATATGATCAATGTTGATTTAATAGACCAGTTTTAAATGTTACCTGTACTGGCTGAGTAAATTTAAGATAAAACCAAGACCTTGTAAACTTCAGATTACTTCCTTTTCATTTCTTATTTTACAAATGTTATTTTCTACATCCTGTCTAATTTTCTACTGTATATATAACAACAGCATGACTGTTAAAAGTTAAAATAGCCAATTTCATCAGATTTCATTCAAACTATATCTTCGAACATTTCCAAAGACAATGTTATAACATTATCACATGAGCAGCAGATGAATTCTAGATGTAGTGAACACAAAATTAAAAGCAGACTTCTCCTCATTATAAGTGATGATCATATGTTAGATTGCAATAAACAAAATACCTTGACTGACTTTTCTGCACATTTTTGGTATATTTCTAGTATCTATGACTTGACATTAACCCTAATGACCTCTATAACAATTGGGATTTCCTCTCAATATATTTGACCATATATACATATATACCAGTAAGGTTCCAATATGATACATGTAAACAAAGCCCAGCATATTGGTAAATCATATATAGATATAGGAAGATGTGGTATACCTGTTTCAGTATTTCCCCTGGGTACAAAGGAAAAGGATCCTGTGCCAATCTTATCTCTTGGTCAGCATGTACAAGTTTGGCCTGTCCACTTTCATCAAAGACAACTTTAGCTTCTTTGTCCCTCAGTACTGGGTTTTCTATGATACAATAATGCCTTGGGGGTACTGTGATCATACGCTCTGGTCCATATACCACTCTGTAAATATCAACACATTAGTAAACGTTTTACTCTCCATATTACAGTAATTGCTAAGAGAAATGAAAGAGTTGGGTATAATGGTCTATACCGTAAGCATGATTAACTACTTTAAACATGTAAAGAAACTCAAAATATAATTTTGATTATTAACAAAAGTTCTTTGTTCATGTGAATTAAAAACGGCAAAATAATATCCAGAATAATTGTATATAATGAACACTAGTAGTGATTACATCCAATTATCTTCCATGGCCCTACCAATTAAAGGCCTGCCTTATAAAGAAAGGTCTATGGACCTTTTTTTAGTTCTGTAATGTTAAGGTTCTGATCAAACATGTCCAAGATGAGTAGGAGGTAATGAGGTAACATGGAAGCATTCTATAGAAACAGTCCTTACCTTTCATTGTCCTGTCTAATGAAGGTCTGTGGACCTATCTCTAGTCTTGTGATGTTAAGATTTTGGTCCAATACATGTAGAAAGTAATATGGTGGTATTCTGTAAATAGGCTCATCTGCTGATCTCCTTGGTGCGGACATGATGATGGTGGATGATGTCTTACAATATTATCTACAATTCAAAATAATTTTTATGGAAAATCTTTGTATGTTAATTTAAGTGTAAACATATCTACCATATCTGATTATCTGGTTATAAAGTATATTTTTGGTTGTAAACCATAAAAAAACACATGTTAAAGGTAAACTTCTACAATAGAGAAAACAAGTACATGGTATCCAATGGATACCATGCCCTGCTTAATGTGGCATTTATTTTTAAATGTTCAAATAAATAATGAACATGTGTACTAAGTTTCAAGTAGATGTGACCACTACTTTATAGTAAATAAACTACTGTAAACCAAATCTTAAACCTGATACCAGACAGACACATGGAGGACCAGCACACAGAAGGACACACAGACTAGAAGACAATACAGCCCCCTTACCACTGTACTATGTAGTTTGTGATATAACAAAACTCCATCCATTTTTCTTGACAGTTTAATTAATGTGTAATAAACTGCTTCGCCAAGCGCAGCTGGATACGACCACAGAGGTCCAACCCTGAACAGTTGGGGCAAAAATGGACACAATATTCAAGCTTGATACAGGTCTGAATTTGGATTGTAATTAAATATTTGACACATTATAGGTTTCTGACACAGAATAAATGTGTCAAAGAACTTGAAATTGGTTGTATGATTTGAATTTATATTCAATTGAAGATTTCTTGATGTTGTGCAATACACTGTGCTGTTGCCCAATACTTAGTAAATCTGTTTTCAGACTTTTTACAAAGAATTAGCAAAATAAATTGTGATTCCAAATTTTTTCCTTTGGAAAATTGACAGTTTCTTTCATCTTGAGGGGAAAAAATGGACCCCCCCCTCCCCCCCCAAATTAAAATGTGGTACAAATTAAGAGACATCCATACACCTAAACACAAGTTATTGTCTGAAAACTAGAAAAATGCTTGTTTTAGACCCTTTTTGGCCCCTAATTCCTGAACGGTTTGGGCAAGTACCCCCAAAATGAATCCCAACCTTCTACTTGTGGTATTGAACCTTGTGGTACAATTTCAGAGCAATTAAAATACTTATACACAAGTTTATGTCCTGAAACTAGAAAAATGCTTGTTTTTGCCCCATTTGCCCCTTAGATTCCTAAACGGTTGGGACCATCACCCCCAAAAACAATCCCAACCTTCCTTTTGTGGTATTGAACCTTTTTAAATTTCAAAGAGATCCATACACTTAAACTAAAGTTATTGTCCGGAAACCAAATGTCTTCGGACGACGCTGACGCCGACGTGATACCAATATACGATTTGTGGTTGATTTGCTGTAATGTCCAGATTAATTTTCTCCCCTCATGTGTTATCTGTAAAAAAATTACCTCCCTTATCAAATCACACAGAGTCCTTGATTTGTGGAAAATTTCACTGACATTTTTCTAAAATATTTTTCTTTCAGGAAAATATTAGATATCTTAATATGAAAACATTATTTTGTCTTTAAAAAGAGAAGAATTAAATAACTTTTAAGCCTTTTGGACACCAATGTTGAGTTTGACAGTGTCCTATCTACCTATATCTGAGAAAAATAAAAATGACAGACTTGCATACTGCATAATATAATAAAATGCTTCGCTGAGCACAGCCTGATACGACCGCAGAGGTCGAACCCTGAACAGTTGGGGCAAATTTGGACACAATATTCAAGCTTGATACTGTCTGAATTTGGATTGTGATCAAATTTCTGACATAATATAGGTTTTCTGACACAAAATAAATGTGGTCAAAGATCTTACAAATCTATTGCGCAATACTGTGCAATTGAAGATTTGTTCTTGAAACTTTTCAAAAATTTGAAATTTGAAAAATTTTGAAAAAAATATGAATCCCTTAAAAAATCCCTCCCAACTTTTTGAAACCCCCCTTGGAGCAATAACCACAAAACTCAATCGAAGCATTGCCTTTGAAGTATGGAACCTTGTAGTCCAATTTCAGAGAGATCCATACACTTAAACACAAGTTATTGTCTGGAAACTAGAAAAATGCTTGTTTTTGGCCCTTTTTTGGCCCCTAATTTCTACATGTTTTGGGCAATTAACCCCAAACTCAATCCCAGCCTTCCCTTTATGATATGGAACCTTGTGGTACAATGTCAGAGAGATCCATACACTTACACACAAGTTAATGTCTGGAAACTAGAAAAATGCTTGTTTTTGGCCCTTAATTCCTAAACTGTTGGCCCCATGACCCCTAAAATGAATCCCAACCTTCTACTTGTGGTATTAAACATTGTGGTACAATTTCAGAGCAATCAAAATACTTATACACAAGTTATTATCCTGAAACTAGAAAATGCTTGTTTTGGGCCCCTTTTGAGCCCCTAAATTCTTAACGGTTGGGACCATCATCCCCAAAATCAATCCCAACCTTCCTTTTGTGGTATTGAACCTTCTTAAAAAATTTCATAGAGATCCATTCACTTAAACTAACGTTATTGTCCGGAAACCAATGTGTCTTCGGACGACGACATGATACCATTATACGATCCCAAAATTTTTTTTGCGGTCGTATAAAAATAAATAGATGTGGTATGATTGCCAATGAGACAACTATAGTAGAGTAAATTTACATTACAAATTGAAAAGTTACATTTTAAACAATTTTCAGTATTTCAATTATTTCATGTTAAAGATAAAAGAATTTGCATGCTTAATTTTATTAGTGAACAACAGATGTTGATTTTAGTGTCTTTAGTAGAAGTAGTTCAGAAAAGTAATTAATTGTAATTAATTGTTTATTTCACATGTTATTGACCACCACATGAGACATAAAAGATTCTTAGATAAATATGTTCTGTCTAATTCAGCATTTCTATTTGGTAATTAAAAGGTCAAAGGTTTGATACTTAAGATAAATTTAGAATATTAAGTAGTAGGCTAAACGGTCAGTTAAATTAATTATAGAGTTAGGTCTTAGTCAGTTTTAATTGACTTTGAGAATTGTATTTGTCATATAAACATCTATTGCTGGAATTATATATTATTGTGAATCTGTTTGATATGAAATATTATGGATGCATCACATGTTTAATAAACAATTATAGTTATAAAATGGAGTACCTTTTATATGTGAGCTAGTGAACCGAGACAATTTTCCCCCGTATCTAAAACTTTTCTTATAGGAGTAAAAGCCTACTCCTACATAATGGTAGAGACCCGAATAATAAACCATCATAGATACCACTCCTACACAACTCTCCACCAGAAACCAAATGATGTAAAAGTTATACAAACTATAGATCACTAAACATGCTAAACAACAGAATCGTCTGTCCAATACTATATATTTGGACTATATGACCTCAAGCCCTGCAGGTCTTGCATACTTATAACATTCCATTAACATAAAATGAAGAGGACAGGCTAGATAGTATCTATGATACTTTTTCAAACCTATAACATCCAGAAGAAGTCATAAATTTTAAAAAACAAAGAAAATTGTGAAATATATCTTACACAGCTACTTTTGCATAGGTACTATTTCTGTACCAAAAATCTGTAGTACTGGAAATCTACTTTTAATATTCAGTACTATTTTGTTACTTTAAATTTATTGTAATATTTAGGTACCTGTATTTTACAGTACTTGATTTGTACTTGAAATTTAAGTACTACAGATTTTTGGTTACACCATTACATTTTCAGCATTTTAAAAGTTTGTCTATTTCAAATCTCTTTAAGTTATGATTTTCAAACATATGGAATATTGCGATCACTGTTGGTATTATTTCTGTACCAAAATTTTTAGTCCAATCAAGTACTGTAAAATACAGGTACCTAAATATTACAATAATTTTAAAGTAAAGAAATAGTACTAAATGTTAAAAGTAAATTTCCATGCAGTACTTCAGATTTTTAGTACATAAATAGTACCTATGCAAAAGTAGCAGTGTAGGAAATAGCATTACTTAATTCAGCAGTAATTTTTGTCCTACATTTTGAACCTTGCTTTTCATTGTTTTGAATAAAGGTAAAAAAAATAAATGCATCACATCTTTTGCATTGTGATAAAAATGTGTGAAAAAATGGGCATATATGAATATATATTAATTATGTCAAGAGCATACCTGAAAAATGCTGACAGTAATGAATTGATTTACAGGTTGGTTGGATACAAGCCAAACATTTATTCACAATAAATACCCTTTAACCTTCCCAAGTTAATCAATATATACCCAGCCAAGCATTCAAGTTATTTACTAGGATATATACATATTGATTTTGGCTTACACATAATAATCATGGTGTAATAACTGTGTGTACTTCTGCTTATTTGTTAAACATGTTAAAAGTCTATTGGGCTGAGAAAATATGAAATCGTCAAGATTATTATTTCCTTTCATATTAAATTGATTCATTGTGTTATCATTTTTTGTCATTATTTCATTGGATAAAATCAGCTATGTCGTGGCCTTATTGAAAAAAAAGATATATGTATAAAAAAAAAACATTTTCTGTCTGCAGGCTAAATTGTTTTGTACATCTGATGATGAATTTTAGAGTGGTTCACCTTCAGCAATTATTCAGCTTGAGAAAAGTTGTATAACACATGCAGTTTTATTTTGTCTAAAAATTGTTACAGTAACTTTTATCAAAGAAATCTGGTATTGAATTCATGTTTTTCTTAACATGAAGAAATTCAAAAATCTTGTAAGTAAATAACACATCTAAATTTAAGTTTTTTTCAATTTTCCTACTAAAATTTGTTAAAAAATAACTAAACTTACAAAAAGTCACTCTATCCTACAGAATACTCCTTCTTAAGGTCAAATGCTATATGCTTGTCTACATTATTAACTTTTAACAGTAAGAATAAATGTGTATAGCTACCATCTAAAAATTGTTTTAAATGTTTACTCACATACAAGCTCTCCAATTTATGCCTATCAAAAATGCTGGCACCAACAATTAATTGACCTTAGTCAGCAATGGTGCAATACAATAATGTCTAAAAATAGAAATGGGGATTTCACAACCAACTTACCTATTTACCTCAATTGGATTTCTCATGTGGTACTGGTTATGACAAGTCACTGTTTACATAATCAAATTTATATGGATGAGTTTTCTCAGTTTAAATGTATTGAGATAAAAGTGCAGATTTTATGTGTTAATTTACAACAAAATTCTTACCACAACAAAAACATTTTTATAATGTACACATTTTGTACAATGGTACAATTCAGTTGACATAAAAGATAAACAACATTAACAATCCCTATTTTGTTTATTTGAAAAGGAAATTAGATGATAAAACTGATTAAACAAGTTGCTATTTAAAAAAAAAAAGACAATGCGTGAACCTTAGAACTTTTTTATTCTAATTATTAATTCAACTGAATAAGAAATTATATCAGTGTTTGCATGGTCATGTGTGTGGAAGATAATATTTTCTTTTTATTGTAAATCATTACAATTTTGGCATGTTGAGAGAAGTGTTAAATATAAAGCAATGAGGGAAAAAAAAAGATTCCCAGACATATAATTTCTTAAAGAATAATAATGATTCAAAACATGGGGGACACATGTACCTTCTTCCATAAAATTAATCTAGAAATAAGTAAAGAGGCATTGCGAACTGGTCAGCTACCAGGACACATTAATGTTCGTTACCAACCAATCATCAATAAATGCAACTCTCCCTCCAGAGATACTTACTTGATCAAATTATAAAACCATTATTGAAGAGGCATAACTTTTACATTCAAGATAAAAAGATTCCATTAATAAAATAAAGTCACATATGAGGTCAAAAAAGAATGCATTATAGGAGCGCTCATGGGTGGTATATTTTCACCAAAATGCACAGATCTGCATCTGTCTGTCCTATTCATTAAAATCTTAGATAAGTTCCAATGGCTTCGTTTTTCCAGAGTGTTTTTTTCCGTGCAACGTTTTTGCGATTTGTTATTTCACGTGTTTCCGTGTTCAGACCCCCCCCCCCCCCCCTTTTTTTTTATACTACCCCTATTTAGATACCGAAGTGTACAAAGGTGATCGATTCCATAGTAATGGAATTCTTGATGTTAAGTCACGTATATTAAAAACACAGAAACGTATCAATATTTACCTGCAATCACTAGTGCACATCCAAAACACTGTGACACATAAATTTAAGAGTATTAATTTACAGTGTGTGAATAATATAAGAAATAATAGTGACATCAATCAATTAAATAAACAATTAATTAGATTACAAGATAACTTAATTGATAGAGAATACTGTAAAAAGGAAACAGTAAAAGTTGTAAAAAATGTATATTAACGAATAGTCTTTTAATATTTTACTTGTTTTATTTTCAGTTGATACAGATTTTTTTTATCTGATTTGTCAAAATGACAAGTATGCATAATGATTTTATTGTTACAAATCAAATCCCAAAGCCAACTATAACTCATTATGTAGAAGCCACAGCACTATTTTAAAATATCTCTCTGTGAATATCTATACACAGATGTTTGATACCATATGCATAGGTCGTTATAATTAAATCTTGACCATTTATCTTTCACTTGTTTATCAAAGGGTACAACTGTCAACTTTGCTCAAGTCAGTGCATAAAATGTAGCTTTACAATAAATATACATGTTTGAAAAGGATCTATAGATTGTTTATTATCATATATCAGATAAGTGAATTAGTGATCTGTGAAAATTCTTTTTTGTCATGTTTTAAATATCTTAGATACCCCGTATGGAGGTGCTCTTAATTGCAGGAAGCTAATACAGATAAGATTAATAGGTGTTCCGAATGAACAATAATTTAGCTTCCGAATATTCCTCCATAGACTATATTTCTAACTAATTTATATGCGTGAACCCTCAGGGGTTCACGCAAAAAGTTCCCCAAGAGAGGCATTACTTTCTTAAATCAGGGGTTTACTGTGAGAAAAAAATGATATCTTCATATTTCAAAAAGACATTTTTAAGGTGACAGTTGTACTTTAAATTCATTGTAAACATGGTAAATGTAACTTTTTGTAAGCAAAGATTTTTATTTTCACTAATGTTGTTAAAAAAAAAGTATGGCTGAATGAAGGATTGTAGTTTTCTGAGCTTCTACATGGGAAGTCTTGAAAAATATAAATAAGTTTCATCTAGAAAGAAATTTCATTATCCATAAATTATGAGTACAATTTTTACATTCTAAAATTTAATGAAAAACCTAAATACCAAAATTTAAATTGTTATCACTTTGAAAACTCGTAATTGTTCCTAATGGAGAATAATAACCTTGATTTAAAACCAATTATACACGATAGGTATTTTTTTCAGAAACATGTACCCGTGTTTCCTACAGTAAAGAGAGCTTGTCACAAAAAATAAAATGTTCCGCTGGGCGCAGCTTGATACGACCGCAGAGGTCGAATCCCTGAACAGTTGGGGCAAGTATGGACACAACATTCAAGCTTGATACACACTGAATTTGGATTGTGATTAAATATTTGACACAGCATAGGTTTCTGACACAGAATGAATGTGGTCTAAGAACTTATAAATTATTAATTGACCTATTCAAACCATATCATTATTATTTGCTTTTACATATAAATCAGAAATAACCAATTTAAAATGGAAAATTTTAAAGAAAAAAAAAGGAAAAAAAAATCCCTCCCCCCAAATTTTTTGAACCCCCTTATGATTCATCACCCCCAAACTCAATCTAAGCCTTCCCTCTTTGGTATGGTACCTTGCAGTACAATTTCAGAGAGATCCATACACTTGAACACAAGTTATTGTCTGGAAACTAGAAAAATGCTTATTTTTGGCCCTTTTTGGCCCCTAATTCCTAAACGTTAAGGGCAATTAACCCCAAACTCAAACCCAGCTTTCCCTTTGTGATATGGAACTTTGTAGTACAATTTCATAAAGATCCATACACTTACACACAAGTTATTGTCCTGAAACTAGAAAAATGCTTGTTTTTTGCCCCTTTTTGGCCCCTAATTCCTAAACTTTTGAGGCAATTACCCCCAAAATCAATCCCAGCATTCCCTTTGCGGTATGGTACCTTGTAATACAATTTCAGAGAGATCCATACACTTGAACACAAGTTATTGTCTGGAAACTAGAAAAATGCTTATTTTTGGCCCTTTTTGGCCCCTTATTCCTAAATGTTTTGGGCAATTACCCCCAAACTCAATTCCAGCTTTCCCTTTGTGATATGGAACCTTGTAGTACAATTTCAGAAAGATCCATACACTTACACACAAGTTATTGTCATGAAACTAGAAAACTGCTTGTTTTTTGCCCCTTTTTTGGCCCCTAATTCATAAAAAATTTTGAGACAATTACCCCCAAAATCAATCCCATCATTCCCTTTGAGATATGGAACCTTGTAGTACAATTTCATAAAGATCCATACACTTGAACACACGTTATAGTCATGAAACTAGAAAAATGCTTGTTTTTTGCCCTTTTTTTGGCCCCTAATTCCTAAAATTTTGACGCAATTACCCCCAAAATCAATCCCAGCATTCCCTTTGTGATATGGAACCTTGAAGTACAATTTCAGAAAGATCCATACACTTACACACAAGTTATTGTCCTGAAACTAGAAAAATGCTTGATTTTTGCCCCTTTTTGGCCCCTAATTCCTAAACTTTTGAGACAATTACCCCCAAAATCAATCCAAGCCTTTCCTTTGTGGTATGGTACCTTGCAGTACAATTTCAGAGAGATCCATACACTTGAACACAAGTTATTGTCTGGAAACTAGAAAAATGCTTATTTTTGGCCCCTTATTCCTAAACTTTTTGGGCAATTACCCCCAAACTCAATTCAAGCTTTTCCTTTGTGATATGGAACCTTGTAGTACAATTTCAGAAAGATCTATACACTTACACACAAGTTATTGTCATGAAACTAGAAAAATGCTTGTTTTTTGCCCCTTTTTTGGCCCCTTGTTCCCAAAATTTTGAGGCAATTACCCCCAAAATCAATCCCAGCATTCCCTTTGTGGTATGTAACCCTTTGGTACAATGTCAGAGAGATCCATAAACTAATTCCTTAACCTTAACCAATATACGACCACAAAATTTTTTTGCGGTTGTATAAAAAGTAGTTCTATCATTTTGTTCTGGCTGATGTCTGACTGACCTATGTTTTAAGGAAATATAAACTGATAACTGATAACTTTAAACTACTACCTGGTATCTTCAATAATATAATATATCTTCTTGCTGAAGTACCAGATGAACAATAAATTATAAGCCTATCCACATTTCTTTATAAATTAAAATGACAGACTTTACTGAGCCTTAAAGGGGCACTAGCTACGAGATATATAAAAAATATAAAATATGATTTTTTTTGTTCAATCATTAATGAAAGTGAAATAGTGAAATAATATATCGCTTTTAGCAGCCATTATGGTTCAATTTTGTCAAAATAAGCTAAGAAACATTGAGGATGAATTGTTCACTTGCAAGTGAATAATTCGACCTCATTGAATCCGTATTCATGTGAACTTCAATTTAACCCCTTGGCTAGAGATGGATACCGCATGCATTGTGCGTGTTCAATTATTTAAAGGAAAAGAATGTCAACATTGAAAGTGAAACAAAGGTAAATAATTTGATTGACTGGTTCGATCCACAAAAAATCATTCTTATACAGGTAAAAACTACGATTAACATATATTTTTAATCTATAATATGAAATTAAACAGACATAGAAAAATCCAAATGCACGCGTCTGCTATCTATTTATATCTTTATTTATGTTTATATCACTTATATGGCAATTGGAGGTCTTCGGGGGTCAACTCGACAGTTAATTAGATGGTGTCTAGACTAAAATACACACGAAACAAAGCTACATATTATCGAGCCCATGCCCGGAATATTGTTTATTTTAGACTTTTTTAT